CTTGCAAGTGCAAGGTCCCGAGTTTGATTCCTGGTTCAAAAAAAAAAAAAAAAATGAATGAATTTACTTTTTTGGTTGACATCTGCTAGCAACTCAATTTCTTTTCCTGGCTCAGGAGGTTAGCAAGTCTAATTCTAGATTAGCAAGTGTGAGATTAGAAATAAAGAATTACATAATGGTAATGCTACCCATTTGTGATTGACAGGCACAACTCATGTTTACCTGACCAGGTAACAAATGCACATAATTTTACTTCAGAAGTAGAAGGATCTGAAACCCCAGGAGTAAAAACAATTTTCTTCTCTTGCTGAATTTTATGAATCCATTTACAGAACTGAGACAAGCAAATCTTCAGAGGGACTCCTTCATCTATTTGAGCCTGATTAGAGAGTCACAAAATGTGAATTGAATAATCAAATTCCATTATTATCAAGCATATATTGTAACTATACATTGTTAGAAGATTAACAAAGAAGTCTTAACTAGGAAAAACTTTAAAGATGTTACGATACATGGGAGAGAAATATGACTGGAACTCAACAAGGTAAGAAAAACTAGGTTCACAAATCTCAAATCACACAAATATGATCCTATAGATCAATGATGGTGAACCTATGGCACATGTGCCGCAGCAGGCTGTTTGTTATCATTGAAGGTTCACCATTACTGGTATAGACTAACAGAAATAAAAGATAAATTTAAATCATTTTATTTCCATAACATAAATTTGATCTTTTTTTTCCTGCAACACTGGAGGACCAAACCCAGGGCTTCAAACATGCTAGGCAAGCACTGCAGCACTGAGCTAAACACCCCAGGCCTGGTCTTCATGTTTGTAACACTACTCTTTCTGATTTTTAAAACTTCCCATGGATTTCTGGAGAGGAATATTTTTCTCCTAACACTAAATAAGTCTAATTCCAAATGTACATAAGTTTTATTTTCATTTTGAAACTTATTACTGAATTTGTGATCATACCTGCTTTATGCCCGTCAGTTCCATGCAAAATTCAGAAAGAACTGGATGTTCTTGAGGTTGAACGTAAGCATGGAATTCAGATTCAATCTCTCCAGTTGATGTATTCAGCAGTACTGCTGGAAATTCAACTAAATGAAAGAATAAAATAACACTTGAACAAACAATTTCTAAATTAATGCTGTAGCCACTCTACATTAAATACACACTACTGTCATAATAGCATCATTGAACAGTTTCAGATGTACATGTACCAACACCCCATGATGTATTGTGTATCACAAACATGTACTAAAAAAAAATTTCAGTAAAAACATTATGACCAAGGCAATGTGACATAAAGTTACAATAAAGTTATGCCAAAGAATAAATCAAACTATTGAAGTTCTGTGTATATCAATTTATATTTATGGAGACTAGATGGAGGTTGAAATTTACTCCATTTCTGGTCTTTTTTTTCTTTTTTGTTACTAGGAATTGAACTCAGGGCCTTGCATTTGCCAGGCAGGCACTGCACCTCTGAGCTACATCCCCGGCTCTAATTTACTCCATTTTTGCAAAGGTGTTTGTTTGTTTGTTTAGTTTCTATGCAATTAAGGTTTTGTATGAAATTCCAAAATTATTTTATATAATGACACATTTACGTGGAAGAGATTTTGTTCCCTTGTATTAAAGACAGGTTTTATACTAAACCACCACGTTGTTTTCTTAAAGTGTTGGCTGATTTATATCAACCTTAAAAATGACCTTAAAAATCCACTGCTAAATTTATTCACTTTAAGTCTAGACTTACTTATTTCTTGGTTGTTGTGGTGCTTCCCATCATTCCAGCATGTAGACTCAAAATCAATGACAATTAAGTAGTCATATAATTGCTCTGCAAAAGATTAGAGTGTTATACTTCACCAATGCCAAAAGTGCAAGGCTACAAAATGTAAGGAAACTAAGCACAACACTTACTGGATTTGCTTCTGCCAAGATTCTCACTTGCTGGTGTAATTGACTTTCTCCTAATTAATCCAAGCTGCCTACAAATACAAAACAACCCAGTAAAATCAACGAACCCATTCACACTCCTGTTGAACAGGCTATCAAACTAATGGTACTGGACAAATGGCAAAACATTTTTTTTCTTTTTTTTTTGGCAAAACACTCATTAATTGTTGTGACTTAAGAGAAGCTGAACTGAACTTTAGAAGCAAAAGACCTGAGGGCTGGGGATTTGGCTCGGTGGTGCTACCACTTGCTTCGCAAGCACAAGGTCCAGAGTTCAATCCCTGGTACCAAAAAACCTGGGTTCTTGTACTACCATCCTCTTCTGGTTTTAGTAGTCACTTTACTTGCATAGCCTCATATATGTAAACAAAGGTTAATTTTATCTGCTCCCTTTACTGTATTTTACCATAATACCGAGGAATTCAAATGACTGTAGAGATAAGGATGTGAGGAAATCTTTAGTTACATTTTGCATTTTCCAACTACTTGTAACATATATAGCATAGTTCTGAGGACATAAGAATAACATAGGGCATGGTCCTAGAATATCTTTTAGTGAAATGGGAAAAAACAAAAGACACAGCAAAGATTGATAGTCTCAAGGCTGACAGTCTAAGGCTTGCCCCTCCTGCTAAGCTCACAAAGGTCACTACCTAGAAGATGAACTGCTGAAACACAGCTGCCTACCTCCCCATGTCTTAAAGATAAACTGTAAAAGCAACACTTACCTCCACCTCCCTACCCTTTGCTAAATTCTGCTTCTGTAAAATTCTGCTTGCTACCCCACCCTGGCTGAAGAATAGATAAATAGGAGAACAAACAGAGAAATGGGGCTCAGACTCTGGAAGGTGACTTCCACTGGGCCCCTAGCTAGCGAATAAACCTGCCTTCCCCTTCAAGTCTCTGAGTGCCACTCTCTTCCTTGGTCTGCCTGCTGAGTGCCATTTCATTAGGAATTTTAAAAATCTAGGTAAAGAAAAAAAAGACATCCATTAAATCATTGCAAGGTAGTCTATGATAGAGGACCCCCAAAGGCCATATGCTAGAGTCCAAAGAGAGGGAAAAGTTTACTGAGGTTTTAAGTGCAGGTGAGACAAACTCTGATGAACACGTAGTTGAAGCAGACACTTCCTCTTGTAGTTTTTAAAAAGAAATGTGAGGGCAGTGATATATGTGCACCCGTGTTCATAGTGGCACAGTTTGTAAGAACTAAAACTTTGAAACAGCCCAACTGCCCATCAACTGGAGACTGGATAAAGAAAATGTGGTGTTTTTTAAAAAAATAAAGTGGAGTACTACTCAGCCATAAAGAATGAGAAATTAGAGTCATGTATAGCTAAACAGATGCACATTGAGGCAAAACTCTTAAGGGAAATAAATAGGACAAATGTGTAAATACTGAATAGTTTCTCTGGTGTGAGAAACTGAAAGTGTAAATAAGAATCAAAATGTATAACAGATAATGTGAAATAGGAAGAAAAGGTGCAAAGGGGAAGGGGAAGTGGGAAGGATTGGGAAAAGGAAAGAATGGAATGGAATTAATATGAGAAAAAGAAAAAATGAAAACAAAGTCTTTGTAAATAGGGAGGGGCGGAGGGATTGAAGGAAGGGCAGGAGGAAAAAGAACCAAGATAGATTATGTAAAGGTACAGATCTCCAATGATGAATGTCATTATATTGTAAACCTAAAATGCATCAAATTAATTTAAAAAAAGAGGTGTGAGGTAAGCGTAGGGTTTTGGGATTAATAATTAGCATTTATTGCTTACTACATAGCAGGTGCTAAACTAACATAGGTGGGGGGGTTCGTTTAGTCAACAACTCTAGGAGGTAAGACATTTTTGCTACCCATGTTTTATGAATGAAAAAAACAACTAGGTCTTTTGTGAAAGCACACAGCTTTAGTATGTCAACCCAAGTCTGTCCAACTCTGAAGCCCATGCTACTCACTAATACATTACACTGCTATTCAAAGTCAGAAATGTGCACAGCATATTTAGAAATCAGAGAGAAGGCCACGATGTGAGTCACGTAAGGAATTAGAAGGATCACTTGGAAGTAGGGAGGCCAACAGCCTCATGGTTGCAGAGGCGCCCACCTGAGACCTCCCAACAAGCAACAGGGCGGTGTCGCCTCCAAGCGCTTCCCAGTCTGGAATGGCCAGACACTGGCTCAGGGTCGTGCAGACCGGACCCAGGGTTCCCCACACCTTCCACCCTCCCACGCTCAGAAGGTGGGTGAGGACTGGAGAACGAAATCCAGGTAAGGACTTTTCGGTGCGGTCAGAAACGCCAAGCCTACCCACAATGAAAGCCTACGAGCAACAGCCCGCCGGCAACCCCACCGCTTACCGCGCTAGCCGTTTGGTCGCCATGCCAGACACTTCCTGTTCTTGGAATTTCAACCGCCGGAAATCAGCCGGGCCACTTCCGGTCCGTTCAAACGCCCAGCGTTGAGGAGGAGGCGGTGAAGTCGGTGTCTCACGTTGTGTCTGAAGCGGCGGGAGGGTGTCCGGTCTGCAGTGCTTCTTGTCGTCGTCACCAGGACTCGCGGGCCGGGGGAGTGGTTTTAGGCGGAGAAGCCTCTCGGTAGCGCCCCCTTTTGTTTTTGCCTGCGGGCGGAGGCGGTTGGGTGCGGTTGGAGAGCCGCTTGGGAATCCGGCCTCGGACACCGACGGTTGTTGCGATGCGGCTGTGGCGTCCGCGGGCTGAGACCGATCCGTGGGTGTCTTCGCTTTTCAGGGTGGGCTGGGAGGGCGCTGTGCACAGTGAATTGAGAGGAAGCGAGGAAGATTAGAAGCTGTCAGGTGCCTGGCGCTCTCTCGGGTTCCGAGTTTCCTCAGTTTTAGCCGATTTTTGCCCACAGCTTCATGGAGACAGAGAAGGAAAAGACCGGGGAGCACCCCAGGAAGGACAGGAAGAGGAGGCAGGTCTCCAACCAGCTGGTCCGGGCGACAGAGCCGAGGAGAGCCTGTTGGGCTCTGAAGGACTTGCGGCCTGAGGCCAAGGTGAGCAGCGGGAGCCCCAGCCACTTTCTGGGTCCAGGACACGCGTCATGCTCACCGTCCCATGATCCTCACCGAACCTGATCTGTGAAAAAGGCGAGAATTTTGGCACTAATAGCACCTACCTCAGGGCTGTTAGTGGAGCTCACAGCTGGCATCCCTGGCATTTATTAAGAGCTAAATATACTTCATTCATTCCCCCAGTCATTCATCAGATTTTTGTCTGCCTTGTACCCAGGGCACTGACCTAGGCACTTGGGCGACATCAAGAATCAGTGTCAGATCAGTGCCCTAGTAAGGCTTCTGCTCTTATTGAATAGACAGAAGATAAACAATAGGTATGATAAATAAGTTTATATGGCATGTTAGACCGGAATTAGTGCTATGAAAGGATTTTTATTAAAATGAGATTGCAATTGTTTAGCTATCAGTGAACAAAAAAATGAAAGTTAACATGCTAAAAAATTTTAAAGAGATTTGCTCTCTCACTTTTTAATTTTGAAACAACCTCACACTTGATAGTAAAGTTGCAAAGAGTATGGAATGTCCCCTGCCCCCAACCGGCGCTTGAAGGTACATAGTTGCTGACACAATACTTTCTCCACTTTTCTCCCTTTCCCCAGATATTTTTGTGTATTTATTACAAATAGACCTACATAATCACAATGCAATCATCAAACCCAGGAAATTAACATAGATGTATTGCTGCCATGTAATCCTCAGGTCCTATGGAAGATTTTCTAGTTGCTTAATTCTTTTTAGCGGTACAATCCAGTCTAGAATCATGTTAAATTTAGTTGTCATGCCTTCTTCAATCCAAACGGTTCCTTAGTCTTCACATTCAGCACCTTAACTGCTTTTGAAGAATTTTGGACCAGTTACTTTGTAGACTGTCGCTCAAGTTAAGTTGTTTCTTCTTTGAGTAGATTAGGGCTATACATCTTTGGCAGGAATATCACAGGAGTGATACTCTGTTCTTCTGCAGATTATACATGATTTTGATTAATCTCATAGGTGATGTAAACCTTGATTATTTAGTGGTTACTGAACTATAAAGTTCTTTCTCTTTGTGATTTTGTAGAAGGTTCTTTATTACATTTGAAATTTATCAGTATGAAATGATGAATAACCATTTTGTTGAATAGGTTATCATCTGTTACTACATTGATCTAAATATCCAAGATTTAGTCATTAACTAGGTTCTTGATTCCTTTATTCTTTTTTCTTTTCTTGGTACCAGGGATCAAACTTGGGACCTTGTGCTTGCGAGGCAGGTGGTGGAACCACTGAGCTGAATCCCCGGCACTCCTTTATTCTTTGTGCATTTCATTACTTTGTGTGCTCTCTGCTTCAGCTCTAGAATACCTGGTTCATTCTAATGGAGAATGACATTTAGAAACTCAAAATATAGGTTGTAGATATCCTCATTGCTGATAGGATGTCAGTACCTCCAAAAGATTGAGCTAAGGGATATGTATTTATGTACAAATATATAGAAATAAACATTTTTACATTTAAATATTTTCCTGTATCCATGCATACTGAAAATTTCCTATTACCGTCTACTTCCAATTTAATACAGGGTTCATTCTAGTTTTATTTTTCATATTTTTTTCTAATAGAAATCTGATTCCCATTATCTTTAATATATTTGATCAACACACACATCACTGTCACCTCCACCCATCTCCACATCCTTACCCTGCTTGAGATCCATCACCTTGCACCAGGTCACCTTTTGTCATGCCCTCATCGCTCTTGTGACAGGGTGCTATCATTGTCCTTCTCACATGTACAGCAACAGGCACTACTGTCCCTCAACATTGATTTTTTTCTTTTTTTTTTTTGTCCCAGGGATCGAACCCAGGACCTTGCACTTTTGAGGCAGGCGGCAGCACCACTGAGCTAAATCCCTGGCCTGTCCCTCAACATTGATATACTCCATACTGTAAACAGTATTGGACATCTGATGCCAGGCCTCATTACTTTCCCCTTCCCCTTCATGGATGGACTGCTGACATTGCTCAGTCTTTGGTACCTCACACTGGGGTACCTTGCTAGGAGGATATCCTGGGCTTCTATTCCTAGTCCTTGACTGCCTCCCTTACAAGGCACCCTTCATTCCCTACTCAGACTTGGCATTCCATGATTGGCAATCATGGTTATTCACTACCATATAGACCCCTGTCTTGCTCAGTCCCACCTTATTGATCTCAATACACTTAGGGTTGGTAAAAATCACTGAAACTAAATTCAAGAGTTAGTATTTACCAAAATATAAAGTGTATGTGCTCATTTTGCCTGGGAATTTATCCTGACAAAGTGATTAGATGCGTATATAAGAATTGCTGTAAAGGGAATTCATCATAATATTTGTAATTTTTAAAAAGTCATCAATAGGGATTTCCTTCAGATTAATTATAAATTTTTTGGTAATTTTTAAATTATTGAAGTATTAAAATTAATGTTACAGTTAACTGATATGGAAAGGTATTACAGATTAAATTGGAGATAGGGAGTTGGATACAAAATAGAATAGATGGTAAAATCGTTTGGGAGCAGTATAGTGTAGAGAAGAAAAGATCTTGGGCTTTGGAGTCTGCATCATTTTAATTGCATGTTCTGACACTTTTTTTGGAGGGGAGAGATTGAGTTTAGGGAATATTGAACTACATCCCCACCCCCTTCTGAGACAGGGTCTCACTTATTTTCCTAGGCTAGGCTTGAACTTGTAGTTCTTCTGCTTCAGTCTCCTGAGTATCTAGGATTACAAGTGTCTACTACCCCTACCCCTGGTCCTGTTTATCCATTTCTTTATTGTGGATAGTAGTACTATTAATTTTAAAAGAATTGTGAAGTTAAATGACTTAATACATGTAAAATGCTCCAACTTACGTCTGTGTAGAAGTAAATGCTCAACATTAGCTTAGGCCATGGGGAGAAATAAGCAATAATAATATCTGATGCCTATTAAATACTTATGGTATGTCAGGAAATAGCTTAATACATTAGCACTAGGACTATCTCTGGTCTTTCCAGTAATCTCATGATTATTCTAATTATTCTATAGATGAAAATAATTACTCTATAGATGAAAAAACTTGAGTTTTAAAAAGGTTAAAGCAAAAAAAAAAGGTTAAGGCTCTTGTCCAAGAAGATATTTGAACTCGGGTAATGTGATTCCAGGGCTTTAGCCCTATATTCTTTACCCCTATACTCTGCTATTTCCCAGACAAAAATAAAAGTGTTGGGGCCGGGGATTTAGCTCAATGGCACCGCACTTGCCTGGCAAGCTTTAATTATCTCTGAGTTGTACAGGTGGCTTTTATATTTGTCTATTACTCTGTGTATCTGTTATCTATTTTATCTTTGTTACCTGAGTCTTTTATAACAAGCATGAACAAATTTAATAACCAGATATAAGCACAAAGTTGCCCTTCCACTTTTAAAAATTTGAGTCATGCTGAGCCCAGACTGACCCTGAAGTCAAGATCTTCCTGCCTTAGCCTCTTGAGTGCTAGGATTATAGCTAGTACAAAGCTTTTTTAAGGAGATGGGGATCTTCACTGCCTGTTGCCATGGGAAAAATTCTGACTCTTCATTTTAGATTATGTTGATCTATGATCTGGTTCCTTCATTCCTACCCTCACTGCCACTATTCTGCAACTTTCAGTCTTGACTCCAGCGCTTCAGCCAAACCATACTACATGTTTGGACACAATGTTCCCTTCATTCTGGCAGACTTATTATTTTCAAGGCTCAGCTCCAGTGTTTTCCTCTCAGCAAAGTCATCACCCAAACTCTCCAACCCTCAAGGCAGATAGCCTGTTTGTATACATACATTTGTAATAGAACATACCCAAACTCTATTGGAATTATTGTCACATTTTTTTTCTTCTAGTGGAATAATCCTTCACACCATGAATCATTTTATTCATCCTACCATTACTAGCACATAACCAAATATAATTTAGGTTCTATATCAATGTTTATTAAATAGTCTATTAATAACATTGTACCACAGGTTGTCTTAGTTTAGGCCTTTTTTTGTGATGGTGGTACTTCGAACTGAACCCATGACCTCACTGATCCACTCCCCACCTTTTTTCCTTTTTTGAGACAGTTGCTCAGATGAGGTTCAAAACTTGTGATTCTCTTGCCTCAGCCTCCCCGAGTGCTGGGATTACAGACATATGCCACCATGCCTGGCTGGTCAAGTTATTGTTTTAGACCTTGGTTTTTGTTTTTGTTTTTTTTGGTACCGGGGATTGACCTTGGATCCTTGAGTTTGCAGGGCAGGCGATGGAACCACTGAGCTAAATCCCCGGCCCTAGACCTTGGTTTTTAATTAATTAGAACCTTCTTATGTTTGTATATATGTTAAAACAATCAAACTAGAATAATAACTTGCTTTGCCTTGTTACCATTATTGATTATGTAGTTTGCTCTGCCCCAATTTATTTTGCAGAAAGCTCGCTTATCTGCCATTTTATTTGCTTGTAATTGTCAAGTAACCCCTGGCCAACTGTGTGAATTGCTGAAGTATGCAGTTCTGGGCAGATCCATTGTGCCTAGACCCAGGTATGAGATGAACTTAAACAGTATGTATAGAAAAAGTTTCAACTTGGTGTTTGGAGGGCTATATATGGCTTACTAATTAAATCTGTTTGCCATGTAGCATGTCCTAAATTTTAAAAAGTCATGGCTACGGGCAAATCGCTTTTGGGTCCCCCTTCTGTCTCTTAGGCAGAAGCTTTCTTTCAATAAACTCTTCCTACTCTTTAAAAAAAAAAAAGTCATGGCTATCACCAATTAAATTTGGGAATATCTTTATAGAAATCCACATTTTTGATTTCTTCAAAAAACTCAAAAGATTTGGCAACTCACTTTATATTCTCCTCTTGGAAACAATTTGTCAAAGCTGAGTGGTTTTCCCTTTAGATAGGGCATGCCAGTGTCCTACCTGTCTTCACTTATTAACAGTATTTGTCTGGTCACTGTAGATATTTTAGTTTCTTTCCCATGGTATAGACCAGTTGAAACAATAAGATATGTTAATAATTTCAATCAGTTTTTTTCTTCCCTGGTGTAGACTCAGTGTCTTTCCCCTGGTATATACCCAGTTGAAATAATATGATGTTATGTTAACAATTCCAGTCGATCTTTTTCTTCCTTTTACAGATGAGGAGCTAAGAGAGAATTTTACTGTCTTAATATTATCAATGCCATTATAGAATGTCTTTTTTTGTTTTTGTTTTTGTTTTGTTTTTGTACTGGGTATTGAACCCTAAGCCTTCGCTCTAAGCTACATCCCAAGCCCTTATTTTATTTTGGGCTTGAACATGTGATCCTTCTGTATTGCCTCCCAGAGTCCTGGGATCACAGGCATGCACTACCAAACCCATTTGAAAATTACTTTTTGTATGTACCAATAAAGATAGTTTCAAATGCTCACATTTCCTTGGAGGAGATTGTTATGAATTGGCTAGATAACTCAAGAGCAATCTTTCTTATCAACAAATACTGCTATCAATCTGTCAGTTTATCTACAGTTGAAGCCAGCTGTTTGATTACCTGGTTTAGGAAGGGCTACAGAGTAGTTTGGGCTCTTAGGGGTAAAGTCTTAAGAGTGGTAAAGTGAACTTAGTAAAGTGAGCTTAGTGCTGATTTAAAACATTTTAGTAGGACAGAGGATTTAAATGCATGTATTTCACCTAGTATTTTATTTGATTTGAATGCAGTAAATATATATCTTAAGAGATTTTTATTTGAATTCTCTGCAGTAATGACTGTCTTCCAGTTCTAGGCAGAGTAAGTGATGATGAGACATTTAATTAGCTGTCCTTTTTATACTTCTCTTGTGAATGCCTGTAACTGACTTGAGGGCTTTACTCTTAGCTCTGTTGATTTGATTTTTCAACAGTTGGTGCCAGATTTTTCACCAAAACCACCCGAACAATGTAGTGGTTTTTATTCTTCAAGGGATGAGTCAGTTGCATTTCTACAAGTTCTATTTGGAGTTCGAATTTCTCCGGA